TTTCCCTTTGTCTATATGTCTACATTTCACCCACATACCTATATTTTAAAACATAGTGTTAATTCCCGTTTTAGTCACAAGATGGCACTCAAGGTTTAATCTTTGGGGAATAAAAAAATTCCTAAAAACTGCATTAGATATAATTATGTAAACCTATAAAAACAATGTTTAAATTCAGTACCCCTAAAAGGATAACACATACATTAAATGAAAGTACTCAGCATGAAATTTTCCATACACCAGGAGAAAAGGGAATCAAATTTAAGCATACTAAAAGAAAGATGACATGTTTTTGGAAGTTAAAACACATATTCACAAAATCAGACACTAAAGCAACTTAGAAATAGTATATGTTTTAGCTCCTTAATTTATAAAGACAACTACAACCAGAGTGTATTTCATAAACATAAGAAAGTTTTATATTAGTATTTCATACAGCAGATGTTAATTGTTTTTCCATGAACAAAAAGGGAAGCAACATTGTTAGATAATAAACCGTGATGTTGACCAAAAAAAAAAAAATTCCACAAAAGGCAGATTTTTATTTGCGCATGCATGCAGTTGAATGGGCCATGATTTTACACTTACCTGAACATTTTAAGCAAAAGTACATATTAGTAAGCAAGTAGGAAATACTTGTTTTAATTTTTAAACAAAATTTGCATTTATCAATAACCTTAGGCAAGCTCTCCTTAATCTCTTTGTGCCTAAATTTTTTTCTGTTGGTAAACCATAAATAACATTCACTTCTAGTTTTACAGAATTTTCAAGAGGGAAGTGTCAGGAGTGGCAACTCAGTTGAAAAGGGGAGCGAGGAGCCTTCCTTGAAGCTGTCATCAGGGCGAGCCAAGCGGTGCAACTTGGAGTAGAGGTTAATTAGTTGTTTGGAGTAGAGGTTAATTAGTTGTGGCTCTGAAAGAAGTGAAGGCTATATCACAGTGGGTTACACTCAGAAGCCTGACTGTCAACTCCACAGGGTGGCCAGCAGCACCTCAGGAATAAAGAGAGCCTGGCACAGTGATAGTACTTTCCCATGTTACTACTTCCTGTTCCCTCTACACCTCTGCTTATGGGCAAGAGCAATGTTCTTCTCTAAAGCTACACTGAATGTAAAACTCCACCAGAATTAGTAACTTTTCTTTAGAAAACTTGATGGCTGCCAAAACTTAGATGACTGATGCAGATTTCTCTGTTTTTGCATAAGCAATCATTAACTGTAGAGCACAACACAATTTTATATGTGCATAAGCGAGAACACTCAAAAGAACAGCTTTCATTACTTTCTTTCACTATTTTTCTAGAGAAAATAAATACAATCTGCTGATTAGATTCTGGATTACATTCTTTCCTACATCTTGACAGAAAAAAAGCATTTGCAGGAAGATCCAAGAGACAGTCAAGGCACCGGGAAAGAAAAAAAAAAACAGTAGAAATGAATATCAAAAATGATTAGTTAATGAATATTTATGAACTGATTAGTATGACAATCAGTATCTGTTAATAGCAACTAAAACATGTGTAAAGTTCCATAACCTGTCTAAAATATTCAAGATAGTCATTTATATTTCTAGTTTTTATTCCATTCATCACTATACCCTAATACTCCTAAAATAGAACAATGAGTCTACATTAGAAGGGGCCTTAATAGAAGTCTACAGCTAAATTTTATTTTTCCTAAAATTAACTGCTTTCACATTTAATCTTAAGGAGAAACAGGATAAGTATGTGCCTTTCAAAAAACATTAGTTGAGTGCCTACTATTTGCCAGGCACCATGCTAAGTATGGAGAATACAAAGGTATACCGATGGCCCTGTCCTGGTCACTCACTGTGAACAGAGGAATTTCTGCACCACAGGTTTTGAAAGAGACAAGGAAAGGGCACTACAGGAAGAGAGGACAGGGGACCTGGGGATGCCTGAGCATGTCAGATACAGTTTCACAAAGAGATGTTTGAGTTGGATCTTCATGTCATGCTTGTGAAACACTTTGTTAGGAGCAAGGCAAGTGGAGGCAAAGAGAAGGATAAAGGAGCCACAGACATCATGGGTCCTACCATAAATGAGGCCATGGTGGGTGTTGTTTTCTAGCCTGACAAAATTTTCTAATCTTTGTATATTTCTGACAGATGATTTTTGTTCTCTAAAATGTTGGAAGCATGAACTTTCATCTTCCCCTCTCTGCAAGAGCTAATGTTTCTGTACCATACTGTATGGTTTTAAATGTATGATCTCATTCAAGAGATTCAGTGCACAACAACTTGGCCAGGTAGGTCACGTTATCTCCATGTAATGGATGAGGAAACAAGTTCAGGGTGGGTAGGAATTTCTCCCAGATCTGTCTGACTCCAAAGCCCATGCTCTTTCCCATGCTGCTTCCAGAGAAAAATTTTCCATCTGTAAACTGAACTATGGCCTCAGCAGAAAAGGCATGAATAATAGCACATCTTGTGAATACCTACCTTGTGCCAGACACCATTATAAGCATTTACATGTTTTAATTTTTATTTTCTTCATAGCCTCTTTGTAGGAGAAGTACACTTATTAACTGCTAACAGATTCAGCGGAAGCCCAAAGAAGTCAGAGAACTCTCTCAAGGTCACAGAGCTGGTAATTGGCAGGGCCAGAACTCAGATCCAGGCAGTCTGGCTCTAGTGCCCTGAACTTATGTACTCTATGCCCTGTCATTTAATTTAGACCAAATCCTAACTCTGGGTCACCAGCAAAGACACTGCTGAGAAACTTACCTCAGGCAGAAGGCACAAATGGGGAAGAGATGTTAGGTTCCCAAATAAGAGTAAGACAAATCTCATATTGCTTAAGAATCAGGAATTGATTGATGAGGGTAGGGGAGGACTATAGGGGAGGACAAGACAGTGACAGGAGTAAAGAAAAAAGTCTTTTTCCTTTACACTATGCAAATAAAATATTCCTAACTTGCCTTTTTCTGTTTTTCTTAAACAGGAAATGTCTGTGCAAGGAAAGCATTTTCAAATATATATTAAAGCAGAGATACTCAATAGCACATACTGTGTGTACAAACAGACCTGATGACTCACTTGCATAGATTCCCCACATATTTGTCATTTAAGTCTCTATAAATTGGCCACTTCATCATACCTTGCGTATTTCGATGAACACAAAATTTGTTCTGAAAAGAAATCTAATTTCACCATTCTTTAAGTTTTTACTATACTTCTTCACATTTGCAAGTTCAAATATTTATGTCATAATAAAATGCAACTTTTAAAAACTTTATTAAAAGTTGTTTTTTTTTTTTTTTTGACTAATCACTTCCAAAATTCACAAGAAGCATCATTTGATTTAAATATATTCTCATCAACCACCACATGGCATTAGGTGTGAGAGTTTTATTCTGACAGGGTCACTGTGCACATGATAACTTGACCTATAACTTCAAAATAATGTACTTGGAAGAATGTTCTAGCACTCAAACAGCTCACAATTATTTTTGCCATATGTAGAAGTGGGTGAGTAAGTTGAAAATAACATGGTCCTACTTTTTCTAAACCTTTGGGTTCTGTGGGATACTGGTGTTACATAATGAATCAGTGATCAAACAAATAAAACAAAGCAGTTCCATTAAAGGAAATAAAAAAGGAAGTCATGTCAAAGCAAAATTAACCTCATATTCTAAGTAAGTGTCCTCAACTCTAAAAGAAAATTGAAATTTGTCTTTAAGGGAAAACAAAACAAAACAAAAACACTTGTTCTCATTCAAACTGTGTCTAATAAGAACTTCTCTTCTGCTTATAATTTATCCTGAAAGTAGAAAAGTATCGAATTCAAAAGCTTTCCTCTGCTTTGGCTTGAAGATAAGTTGTTGCAGAGGTCACCTAAGGAAAAAAAAAAAGTCCAACTAAAACATCCAATCTGAACGAGAACGTTAAATAAAAGAAAGTTTATTTTAAGAACTGCAACTTCTACACAAATTCAAAATACAGCCCATTATTTTTATAGGTCCTGTATGTCCACCTGGAAAAAAGAGAGCAGAACTCAAGATAGGGCAGAAAGGTGGGAAGGGAAGGGAAGGGAGGGGGCATGGGGTTAGCAATGAAGGTGGCATGTGATGGACATTATTATCCAAAGTACAGGTATGAAGACATGAATTGGTGTGAATATACTTTGTATACAACCAGAGATATGAAAAGTTGTGCTCTCTATGTGTAATAAGAATTAAAATGCATTCTGCTCTCATATATAAAATTTAAAAATTAATTTAAAAAGAATTAAATGATAGAAAGGTCAATGAAATAAAAAGGTAAATGATAAAAGATAAATGAAATAAATTTAAAAATATCAAATCTTTCACTCCCCTGGTTTTATGTAGTATGTTTATTGAACACCTTGAAAAAAAGACACACCAGAATACCAAATGACTCCAACCCACTCTGTGAATCCAGAGGGGGGTCTATGCTCTGGCACGCCTGCCTTTAGGAGCCAAAAGTCAAAAATGGATTAAATTCCCTTCCTTAATAATGGTCTAAGATCAAGGATTCCAAAGATATCATAATAATTTATTTTTGCATTTTACTACATACTTCCTCATTGGAGTTAATGTATTTGGTTCCTAAGTGAGAAATCTTTGGAAGAAAAAAAGATGCTTGGAGCTATGAGAAGGGTGAAAATCTAATTGGTCATATATAAACAGTTTTTTGTTTTGTTTTGTTTTACTATTTCTAAGTTGCATGTTGATAAAGACATGAACAAGAGGGGGTGGGAATAAGAGAATTAAGGGGAAGGTGTTGTGAGATTTCTTCACTGTGGCTCACATAGTTTCCCCATCTTCAGCAGCCAATAGAGAAAAGATGTTTTCTACCTGGGTTAATATGAAAGGGAGAAATGATACTTTATTATTGTTTTTATGCTTTTAAGTTGTTATTTCCAAGAGTTTCTTCTGATGGTTCAGCTAGATAATAGAAAGTGGAATGATGGATATTTCAAGTTAATAGAATAATACCATTCAAGGCATTTGAAATTTCTTACTTTAACTTCCATTCTTTAGGATGTCCTTTATCAGTTTTCTTCCATTTATAATACTCTCCAATGAAATGTGGATCTCCAAGCACTGAAATTAGAGTATTAAAATAAGGAGCTATGCATAGATTCGTTTTTTTTTTATTAGTTGCTCAAGACTATACAATGATCTTGACAGCACAGATTCTTTAACAACTGTTAAAAGTTGAAAATAACTCATTTCTCATTAAGTCATTATGGGGCAATGATATATACCATATAGATCAAATCATATTACAATGCTCAGAAACTTTCCAAATTTCTTCCTTTTATTGGAACTTTGTAATATTCAATATTACATGAAATAAGTAGGTTGTGAACTGAAAGTTATTTTCAATATAATGACATTTGTTTATATATCATTTATGTTGTTAAATAAAATTTATGGGAGACCTTCGTTTTAGGCTGAGATCTCGCACTAGGCCCCAACAGACCAAACCAAAATGCAGTTACTCAACCCCAGTACTATGCAGTCAAACTGAAACTTTAAGGAAGAAGGAAAATTCCCAAACTGACCAGTTCCACCCACCAACCAAAACTAAAGATTACGGAACCACTCAGAAGGGACCCAATAAACCAGAACCTGCAGTGTGAATAATCAATCCACCTTTTTTCTTATCTTCTTTTCCACTTTCTGTAGTACTAGGGGATTGAACCCAGGACTTCATACATGCTAGGCAAGTGCTCTACCACTGAGCTACAGCCCTAGCCCATTTAAATTTTTGAGATAGGACCTTGCTAAATTGCCCCAGCTGGTCTCAAACTTGTGATCCCCCGCCTCAGTCTCCTGAGTAGCTGGGATTATAGGCATGCATCACCATGCCTAGCCCAATCTTCTTTTGGCATTATTGTTCCCTTGTTCCTGTTCTAGCTGCCTTGTAAAATCAACCTGCTTGGCCATACCCCGTGGAGCACTTATTTATTCTTTAGAAGAGATGTAGTTAAAGAATCACTAACAAAAGTCAACGTGGTCATTAAATTTGCTGAAATTTTGCTTTTTGGCAATAGTAATAAAGACAGTATTAAGAGAACTCATATAGCCAGGCACAGTATCTCTCGAATCCCAGCTATAAAGGAGGCTGAGGCAGGAGGATTGTGAATTTGAGGCCAGCCTGTGTAACACTGTGAGATCTGCATATTAAATAAAAGATGTCTCATAAAAACCACAGACATTGTAGTTTAACAAGTTTCTAATTTAGCATTCAAGTTGAAAAATAAAATATTGGAGTTGGAAAGGACATTGCAGATCTTGATCTTTCACAAAGCAAGAATATCAAACATATTCATCAAGATCTGACCTTTGCCAATGACAGAAAACACTCCATTGTGTTGTTGGGAAGCTGCCCATTCTTTTGGCAGATACAATAATGAGAGCTACGATTTCCTCCCTTCATCGGAGTGCTGCAAATTACCATTGATCCTCAATCTGACCTCTGGAGCAATAATGAGTAGGCTGGTTCCTTTCCTAATAGGACACAGCCTTCTAATATTTGAGGATAGCTCTCAAGGAAGTCTCAGCTCCTTCAACTTTTTCTTAGGACATGATGTCCTAGAGACAACCATCTTCATCATTCTGATGGCAAACTTTGTTGGTGTTTCTGTTAAAATTTATGTGCAGGGCTGGGAGAGCAGCCCAGGGTTAAAACACATGCCTAGCATGCAACGAAGCCCTGGGTTCAATTCCTAGCATACACACACACACACACACACACACACACACACACACACTCCAGAAATGGATCAGGATCTTGATTTAATCTGAACAGCAAAGATGCAAGTGGAATTACTACCTCCCTTGATTTGTGTGCTATACTTATATAAAGTTGGCTTAATTTGTAGTCACATTACAATCACTGGCTTATAAGTTTGTGATTGATTATAAAGCTTATGTCTTCAATCAAATTTACATCAAATTTATTGAAAACCTAGTATGATTAAGACATTAGTAAATTTTACATGAAATATCTCACCTTGCACAAAACTCAAAGTGGATCAAGAACCTAGACATTAGAATAGAGACCTGAGTCTACTAGAAGAAAAAGTAGGCCCAATTCTCCATCATATTGGCTCACACAGACTTCCTCAACAAGACTCCTAAAGCACGAGAAGTAAAATCAAGAATCAATAAATGAGATAGCATCAAACTAAAAAGCTTCTTCACAGCAAAGGAAACAATCAAGAACATGAACAGAGACCTTACAGAATGGGAGAAAATCTTTACCACCATCACCTCAGAGCATTAATCTTTAGGATACACAAAGAACTCAGAAAACTTAATAGCAAAAAACCAAATAGCCCAATTAACAAATGGGTAAGGGAGCTAGAGACACTTCACAGAAGAAATACAAATGTCAAAAATATATGAAGAAATGCTCAACGTCTCTAGCCATTAGAGAATTGCAAATTAAAACTACACTGAGATTCCATCTCACTCCAGTCAGAATGGCAATTATCAAGAATGCAAGAAACAACAAATGTTGGTAAGTATGTGAGGGAAATTGCTGGTGGGACTGCAAATTGGTGCAACCACTCGGGAAAGCAGTATACAGATTCCTTAGAAAACTTGGAATGGAGCTACCATTGACCCAGTTATCCCACTCCTCGGCATATACCCAAAGGACTTAAAATCAGCATACTACGATAATGCAGCCACATCAATGTTTACAGCAGTTCAATTTCACAATAGCCAAGCTGTAAACATTGATGTGGCTGCATTATCATAGTATGCTGGATTAGACAGAGGGAAATGAAGGGAATGGAGTGAGGATGGAAATTGGAAAGACAGTAGAAGTAGACATAACTTTCCCATGCTCAAGCATGAATACACAACCAGTGTAATCCCACATCATGTTCAACCACAGGAATGGACTCAAAATTGTAATGGGTTGCACTCCATATATGTATAATATGTCAAAATACACCCTACTGTCATGTATATCTAAAAACAACAAACATAAAAATTTAAAAAGAAAATTTGACTCCACATTATGTACAACCACAAGAATGGGATCCTAATTACAATAAATTATACTCCATGTATGTATCATATGTCAAAATATACTCTACTGTCATGTATATCTAAAAAGAACAAAAAAATAAATAAAAGAACAAATTTTAAAAAATGAAAAACAAAGTATAGTAGGATTTAAAAGTTAATAAAGGACCTGAATAAAAATTTCTGAAAATAGAACATACCAATGGGGGAAAAAAAAAAAGAAAATTTGAACTACTGCTTATTTGAATTTAAGTTCCTATTTTAGAAGGCAGAATATCTTCAATAACCATACTCTTAAGATAATCAAATAACTTAGCAATGTTTCATCACTGTGGGCTTTCTGAAACAGAAAGGTATCTAAATAATGTCATTCCATCTTCATGTTTTCAAATAATATATGAATAAAAGTAAAAGTTGCATTCTATAATAGTCTTATGTGCAGGAATTTTCTACATGCTGTAAAAAAGATTTAAAACTGAAAAAATGATTGCAATCTTGTGTTTTTTTTTTAACATAGCTTAGATTAAGATGTTTTAATAAAGAAAGAATTCATTAAAAAAGAAATACTATTAATCCAAATCACATATTTATATAGACTCTATCATCCATCTATCTATCTTTTCCTTCCTTATCATTGTTCTGAGTTTATAGTTGGCCTATTGAACCAGCTAGATGCTCTTCACCAGTTTTGCCTTTATCTGGGGGCTCCTTTTTTTTCTTTTTGGTACTGGGGATTAAACCTAGGGTCACTTTACCACTGAGTCACAGTGGTAGCTGAAAGGTCTTGCTAAGTTGCTGGGGCCAGACTCAAACTTAGAGTCCTCTTGCCTCAGCCTCCCAAGTCACTGGGGTAGGTATGTACCTCACCACCTGGCTGGGGGTTTCCTTTTTAAACAATGATTAATAGTTCCTGTTAGTCTGATGACATTTGCCATCGATAGAAGAAAAGATTTAAACTGAACAGTTCTTTTCTTCTAATAAATTACATGATTTTCACCAGCAATGCTCCTATCTATTTTTAAATTTCTTTTCTTGCCTCAAACATACATATATACATATTCTTATAGACTTTACTACTTTTTATATTAATATTTGATTAGTTATTAATACTTTTAATATTAATAATAATATTCTTCTCCTTTCCATTAAAAAAGCAAATCTGAGTTCTTCAGCGTTCCTAGTGAGGGACCATAATTTCCTTTAGATAATCATAATAAGATTACGAAATGTTTACTCTGTGCTGGGCACATGTAGAGTAGGTATGTAGCAGTTACCATTTTTAAAAAATATTTATTTTTTAAGTTTTAGGTGGACACAACATTTTTATTTTACATGTATGTTGTGCTAAGGATCAAACCCAATGCCTCATGCATGATAGGCGAGTGCCCTACCTACTTACAGATGAACAAACAGACATAGAAATGTGAAGTAATATACTTTAGATGGAACTGTTCATTATGCTTTGTAAAAATTTTAAATTTACTCTCTTGTGAATGCCATCTCCTTTTGAGGTTTCTATTCAAGAATAATACATATCTTTTCTTTTAAAAATTTTTTTGGCCTTCATTTCATATTTGAATATGTATGGCAGGCAGTCTCTTCCTTATGTATTAAAAAACTCAAATGGCAAGGTCATCTTTCTTGAAGAGTCCCATCAGTTTTATTTGTTTGTTTGTTTATTCATTTATATCATTGACTCATTTTCTTCATTGCTTTCTCTCACACCTGAGTTGAAAATGCCACAGTACTTTGTATAAACTTTCATTTCAATGATTCTCATATTTTATCCCTTCACTTATCTCCCACTGCCTTCCTGTAAACTTCTCAAAGGGCTGATCACAGTGTGTGTCTTCACATCCCCACACAGTCAACTGTCTAGATACAGACGTTCAATGAATGATGCTGATTGGAGAAAATGGTGAAGGAACGAGGGCAGGGGAATGGCAGAGAAACAAAGAAGAAAGGATAAGTGAAAATTTAGTAGAAGTTGAAATTCCTTTCTACCACTTCGCACCACCTGGCTTGGGGCTTCCTTTTTTAACAAATTTTCTAGAAGTTGAAATTCCTTTCTACCACTTCTTGCCCCTATGGCAGCAGTCTGATAATCTGTGGTTGAAAAGCATCCTCTCAATTATTTCCATAAAATAGGATCATTTTCTGTTGTGCCTTCTAAGGCTTACTGGGCATTGTTTCCACTCAGGTGTGTGTTTGTGTGTTTTTTATGATGCTGGGCATCGAACCCAGCTACCCTTTGCTACTCTGGGTTTTCATGACACCCTTTCTGTCCAGTATCAGTGGAAGTTGACCTGAGATTTTCTGCCTGCTGGAAGTATCACATTCAAGGAAAATAACAGTTCCAACTTGCCTCAGTGTGTTTTATTTTCACAAATACTGTCTTATTCTAATCATGGAGCAAATTAAAGCAGGGTGGCATGCTTTTGTCCATCAGTAGAAGTGGAAGATGAGGAGCACAGAGTTGAGAGACTATCCTGAACTCACGCATCTGTTTGTGGCCAACTAGGACAGGGCTGAGTTGCTAACTTGTGACATCATACTCTTCCCAGCAGAACCTTCCCAGTCTGCATTGCAGTCACCTTGGGAGCTTTAAAAAACGACGACTGCCTGGTACTTCTCCCAGAGATCCTAATGGAATTGGTATGGGGTGTGCCCTTTATGTCGGAATTTTTACAAGCTCCTCAGGTGGTTCTAATGAGCAATCAAGCCTAGAACCACTGCACTGGAAACAGACTGCCTCTTGCACCTAAAGGCATTTGGGAGACACCTGCCCTCACTGCAGACTCAAACACTCAAAGTTAACGAAAGACTCCTAGGGTGAAGGCAAGCATCCCCCTGATGCTCCAGGCCGTTTGGTTTGTCTTGATGACGGCAAACAAACTTTGGGATGCCTACATTCAGTATTACAGATCACACTTGTCTGAGGGAATTCTTTTCCCTAACATAAACATTTCCTTATGGAGATCATATTCTGTAGTTAAGGAGCTGTTGCCCACAACCATATGTATTGGTTTGTTCTCTGCCAAACCTTTTATTAGCCATTCCATAGTGATGGACAGAGAACAGTGGGTCATTGGTTCACTTCCCTATATGAGTGCCTATGATTATGAACAAAAAAATTATAATTATTGATAAAAGTTTTGCCTATATTGCAGAGATGAATTTAAATCTCATACTATACAGAGATAACTTGCTGTCATAAAGACAGTGTAGTGTGATAGAGTAACACATGAGGAGTCAAAGGATATGGCTCCAGTATTTGGACCACAGCCTTCTTAATTAAGAATAGGCACATTTATTGAGCACCAAGTGCTAGTCGTGTTGTAAATGTTTCAACCCTATGAGGTATGTGCTGTGATTATTCTCACTTTGTAGATGAGGGAACATGGACACAGAGAGTGGGAAACTTACCCAAAGTCATACAGCTAGTAAATTGCAAAGCCAGGATTAAACCCTGGCAGTCTGGCTCCAGAATTTACCTTCCTTACCAAAATATGGTATTCTCCCTCCCCTGTATGATCTTAGTTAAATTGCTTAGCTTCTCCTGGTCTTGGTTTTCTGTAAAACAGGCCAAAAATAATAATAATAATAATAATGCCTAACTCATAGGGTTTATACACCACATGCATGCCATATATGTGTTTGATGAATACTGCCTGGATAAATGAATTAACCGATGATATGCTGGAGTGATTCAAAACTTAATTTAGGTGGGCACATTTTATAAACTGTGTTATGCCAGAACAAACTTATTATGGCATCCATGACTATGCAGGTATTTGTGGCACAAAGGTATGGGAAAGTGTTAATCCCCCAAATAAAAATATAACTACTCATCATTCATAAAACATACAGCTCTTAAAAGGATACACAAGAGTTTAATAATCTTACCATTGACAAGAATATAACTGTAGAAAATGAAGTTATTAGAAGTCTCCCTTTCATTTCTGAGTCATTGAAGAAGCATTCTATAATCTACGAGCTTCATCTTTATTATTGCCAGGAAATTAGGCCATTAAAAAAGATAGTGTTGGATCTCATCCAGCTGAACTATCAAAAGACAAAATGGCCAGCAGCACATGTAAAGTTTACATTTAATTTTTTTTAATTAAGTGCTGGTTATTATTAAAGGTGAACCCTTGAAACACTCTTATAACAATTCCATGGGGCAAGAAGAGGCAGAGTGGCTGAAATCTTGCACCAAGTGCTAGATTTAAAGTCTCAGAAATTCTTCTGGGCTAGCAACAACCATTACCAGCTATTGTCTTCACAGTGAGGGTTGGATTAAGTAGTTGGTTAGTGAAAGATGTAGAAACAACAAAATTAAAAATCTGGGGATCAAACTCCTTGAGGGAGAAACTGCACTTTTCAATTATTCTTTATTGCAAGACAATCATTCCCGAATCTCCTTAAGGCATGGCATGTGCTTCTATCATTTTTTTCTCTAGCAGTTTAGAGTTTCTAAGTGCCCTATATATTTATGTGTTATTCTATAAAGTAGCATCCTGTAACAGTTTGTTTTTTGATTGAAGGAATTTGACTTGGAGTCATTCCCTGGAGTGCATCAACAAATGTCTCTTACCACCATGTTTGTACCACTAAGTGGCTTTTGCCCCTAAAATGCATCTCTCTCCTCAGTGTCTCATGTGTAGTAGGTACTCAAATATGTTTGATGAATTGACTAAGCAAATATGTTTGATGAATTGACCACAAGTCTTTGAAATTAAACATTCATGTATTCTAGTACCAGAAATAATAATAAAAAACTCTTTATACTGAGAGAGTTGCAAAAATCTGTTTATCTTAAAGAGCCAGGGCTTAAGGTATAGCTCAGTGGCATAGTATTTGCTTACAGTGTTCAGGGTCCTAGGTTTTATACCCAGTATAACAATATAAAAAGATGCTAATTTTGGAATGGAGACGTAGTTCAGTGATAGAGTGCTTACCTAGCCTGTGCAAGGCCCAAACACCATAATAATAATAATAATAATAATAATAATAATAATAATAATATATTTTTAAAGCACCTTAAATTATTTTCCACCACTAATCTATGAGTAAGTGAGGATGGTAATAGGTAATGCATAATCACAAAATAATTAGTAACCAACCTTTTGAAAGAATATGTGATTTCTTAAAAAATATGTACCTCACTTTTGGGGGTATTTGCTCATTTTAATACTATTTTTTGTTCTAATTCTAAATCTAACAACTTTTTGTAATAGTTAGGAAACTGTCACGATGATGAGATGAAATATTAAAGAGACTCCAGATTAAGGCAGTGCTCATGGGGTGGAGCCGAGTAGAAGCATTCATAATATTCTAAGATAAATCAGTCAATAAGGTTTAATGAGAGAGACTGAGAGGAATAAAAACAGATTACGGTTTTGGTAAGATAATATAAAAACAGTGATCTCCTACTGACCAAGAGAGGAATTCAGAAGACAGAATAGGGAGTGGGGCAAGAGAATGAATTTACTTTGGGACATATTAAATATGATCTGCTCATAATGCATGTAGATGAGATGTCCAATGAACAGTTGTAAATATGCATGTAGAATTCAGAAGAGGGCTCTGCTTGAGATGTGGCTTGAGGCTACTGCAAAACATGGTAGTATAAGAGGTCTTTGAGAGAGAAGGTAGAAAACATTGAAAAAAAAGAAGTTATTTTTTAAGGAAAAGGGCAGAGGAGTGCTCAAAAGAAGAAAATCATGGTTGTATGGTATCATATAAAGCCAGGAGAACATAGCTGATAAGAGTTTGAGAGATGGACTAAAAGTTCCCCCTGAATCTTAGGAAGTCACTCTACTAGCTTCAGAATGCACCATCATGTCAGTAGGATGGCTCAGGCAAATTCTTAACCCACTTAGATCCAAATAATGAAACAGTTATCTAAGAATCCAGTGAAATGGAACTGGAAAGATGTCCAGCTCTTGCATTCTGTCTTTTTGTTCTGTATGTGTGATGATAACAGCTGATTTTTCCTCTTAGACTGATATAATCAAACACCCCTAGGTTCTTACGTTTTTCTCTCTGAATTTCTACTTAATTCTTCCTCTGGCTTAGAGGATAATTGTGTTTAGAATTTTAAAGTCTCCTCCTGCTGCAAAGCTTTCTTTCTGGGGTGAAGGGAGTCAGATAAACCTCATAAAATTAAGAACTTCGTCTTCTATTCTTCCAATTGCCTATCTTTCCTTCTTGGCTTTTAATCAGACTTTAGTTCAGGGCTCCACACAAAAGAGGAACTAAATTAATAGTTGTTGAATGAATAGTATATAGATCTAGCAGACAAGTTTACTGCTCTTACATAGCAGATATGTTGCAATTAGCCTTTGAAATCAAGACAAGCTGAGAATAATGAACAAATGAATGTACACCAAAAGGATAGAGGATAAGGCAAGATCACCTTACGTGGAGCTCTGTAGGATTCTGTCGCTTTGGATGTGGCTATTCTAGACCATGTCTTGTAGTAATCATTAAATGAGATGGATTTAATTGATCTGAAAATATAAATAAAAATCAGACAATGAGTAGTTTGTAAATTTGCTTTTCAAAATTTATCAGAGTGGGGGCTGGGGTTGTGGCTCAGAGGAAAAGTGCTCGCCTAGCATGCGTGAGGCTCTGGGTTCGATCCTCAGCACCACATAAAAATAAAATAAAGGTATTGTGTCCACCTACAACTAAAAAATAAATATTTTTTAAAAATTTTTATCAGAGTGGATCATTCAGATAATATCTTGTCATAAGACATTGGACTGATATGCAAATTCTAACAAGCAATTCTCTTTTTAAAAAAAATATTTTTTTGATTGTTGTTGGACACATGCCTTTATTTTATTTATTTTTATGTGGTGCTGAGGATCGAACCCAGTGCCTCGCACATGCTAGGCAAGCACTCTACCACTGAGCCACAACCCTAGTCCCTCTAACAAGCAATTCTAATATGTAAATCTAACAGATGAATTTCACCCTCAGATGAATACAAATAACAGAAAAGAAAATTGTCCAAATCATTTTTCATTAATGAACGTAAGTGTGCACCCATCTGAATAAAAAGAAAAATATAAGTTTATGACCTCTATCTTACATCTAACAATAAAAGAGAACTTTAAGCAAAGTATTATTCCTGTACATTTTCTCACTCTGCAGTAAACAAATTTCTTGCATTTTATGTCAAATTTCAGTAAAATCACCTTTATTTCCTCCTTCTTAATGAAGAGAGAATAAAAAACAATAGGATTTTAGTTTTATTTTTACAGTCTGGTAATTTTCAAAAAAAGGAAAAAAACCTAACTCTTTTTTAATCCTTCTGCCTGTACTTTTCCTTCCTTTTGTCAATATTACTATGTGCTAATAGGAGGGCAAAGATCATAATATAGTATTAAATGGGCACTGCAAAACAGTCTCTAAACAATTGTATTTCCAAGTATTTTTACTACAAACTTTTTGAGTGCAGAAATTCTTAATAATCTATAAATAAAATATTGCTTAGAGATATTTTTCAGATGTGTAAAATCACCAACTGAATGACTTAAATAGATGTTTAAATATTAAATGTAAACTATTTTATGCTTGTTTTCTGATTTTTAAGTTCCTAGCTCTTTGGAAAAAGAAGTAATTTTTCAGTTAGAATGAATATTTTAGCATTAATTTTTATAGATGAATCATAGGTACCTTGAAGTAAATATTTGACTCAATTTTGAAATTAATGGAGCAATATCTAAACGTGTTAATGCATTCATTTGTTTAAGTAACAATTACAGACACCTAGTTTTAAGACTAACATTTTTCAAATGTGTTATTACTTTCCCATTCACACTTAAGTAGAAATCTGAAACTTGGAAAAGATAAATTAATCATTACTATTATTACTTCCAGAGCTGCATGCTGTGATTTACCCCACTAAATGATATACTAAACTAACATTAATTTGCCAATGAAATGTTTCAGCATTTGGCAACAGAGGTAACAAAATGAAAGGCTGCATTATATCTCCTGCATGGAAAAGCTTGTGATCAATTTTCTGTCACAGATCATTTAGCAGACAACAATGACCCAAGAGGAAGGAAACTGTCAACACACTGTCTCGTGAAAAAAAAAATACACCATCTTCAGGCACAATCGTCTCCGTTGTTTTTAGTCTGTTTGAAGACGACCCATGACCTTCTCCCTTCCCCAGGGTGTACTGTTCAATTTCAACTGTTAGCCTTCAGAGGCTTTTTTTCCCTTTTCTTCTAGAATAATTAAAAATATTTTGCTAAAAGGTATAACAGTAGTTAGTTTGAACATAGAAAACAGAATATCTTAAACATTTGGAAATATTTGCATTTTCAATTTTAGTGGAAATAGCCCCTTAAAATAGGGGAACAGTAACTGTATTTTCCTATTATTCAGATAAACTACTAAGCTTACAAGGATATACACAGCACAAAATACTCATGTGTTTATAGTTTCAACCAATAACAGGAATTTATTGAATATTATCATTGACAGTATAACTGCAAAAAAGTAGAAGCCATAATTTTGAATTGACCATTAAAGCCTCCTATCTTGCTGGGAAAATAAGATGGAGTAGTGAACAGACGTTTTCTATATTAGCACAATAAAGTGTTAGAAGGTTTGACCCAGATATTTGGAGAAGACAATGCATGAACTCTTGAGCAGTGGAAATAACAAAGAAGTTAGAGGAGGGAGGTTTTGTTGTGACTCCATCAGGGCAAAAGTCATTTGGAGTATGGATCTAGAAAACAGTAAGAAGGAGGCATCTTCGGCCAGGGAAACAAGGTGTACAGAGGATGTTGGGGCGGGGGAGGGGGAGATGAGAGAGAGAAGACAACTGACTATTGTGCAGCATTCAAATTTGAAGTAGTTGGAGTTTCATAAAAATAAGTGAAATGGGGCAGTGCAGGATCCTCAAATTTTATGCAGAGAATGGTTTAGAGCAGATTCAGGTTTTGGGGTTTTTTGTTTGTTTGTTTAGTACTGGGGGCTAAGCCCATAGGCACTGACTCAGTTGCCCAGGATGGCCTTGAACTTGCAATTCTCCTTCCTTAGCCTCCTGAATCACTGGGATTTCAGGAGTCCATACCACTGCACCCAACCTAATTCAGTCATCTTGATTCATAGGTAATAGAGAGCCACCACCAGTAGTTCTCGAATAGGCAAGTAAATGATGAAATCAATTTCAGAGCAACGTTTTCCTCTGGGGGTAGTACACCAAGTGGATTAATATAAGGTAGACTAAATGAAGGGCAGACTAGGAAACAGAAAAACACATTCATTTAGAAAACACATTCATTTAGAAAACAAATTCACTAATTTAGGCATGAGATAACTGAGAGCTAACAGAATGGGAGTAAAGGCTAGGAGGAGGAGGAGATGAATCTTAAGATAATAATGCAGAGGAATCTACTCACTGGTTACCTAACAGCATGAAAGGTAAAGGAATGTTAGGGTCAAATACGCTAAAGCCCAGAAAACTAGTTTTACACCAAGAGAAACTGAAGTAAAATATGAGTTTAATTTTAGACATGGGCTTTAGGTGACGAGAGCATAGACGGATAAGTCAAAATGACCGTTAGGACTGTGAATGAGAAATTGGAAATGGAAAACAGGGATTTGGGTCAAATCAACATAAAGGTTGATGGATGAAGCCATTAGGGGAAACAACCTCCGAAAGACTTAAGTAAGTGTTCAGAAAAGAAAGAACAGAAACCAGCTCATAGTTAAAAGGAGCCGGTGAAGGAACCAGAAAGGTTCATTAAGAGAGGAAGAAAACAATGGCAGTGCTATTTCGTGCAAGCAATTGCCCCAGCTACAACCACAGCCTAATGGCTGAACCTCTGGTTGGAACTTTCCTCTCTCTCATGCCCCCAGTCTTTGGCATCATGGTTGAGAGCAGGGTCTGTGGTCAGCTGAGCTGTGTTAATACCTTCTGGCACCACTACTTATTAGTAGCGCGAATCTAAGCAAGTTACCTAGTCTCTCCAAACCTGTTTCCTCATCTATAAAAGTAAGATATAGAACTTTCTCAAGTGGGTGTTGCCAACATTCAATGAAATCATGCATGAGCAGGGCCAAGTTTAACAGCTCTTCAGTACTTGGTGCCGGCTGGTCTCAATTGCCTTTGATAAGGGCACCGTCATTTCTCTCCTGCTAACTCTAGACAGCTTCCTCAACATCTCTCCCTATTCCAGGTTGTTAGGCCTCACTGCAAAACCACATTTGGTTATCTAATTCTATAGGATAAAGTCTGAATACTTACAGGTTGGAATCTGAGCATTTCCAGTCTTTTCTTTTACTAGTCTTATCCCTATGTCCAGAGGCTCCATCACATGGAATTTCCTGCAGATCCTGAGGATACCTAATACCACACTTCTATTTTTGTGCAAGCTTTTCTATTTAGACACTCTTTTCCTCTATCTGCTTGTTAAATTCTTATTCAACAAGGTTTGAGTCCAATTAACAGATTTTGAAAATGAAGGTTGATCTTATAGTGGACCCTGGTTGCCTCCTCAATAGCTAATTCATTCTTCCCACTTTATGTAGAATCCATGCATTCTGGTGAGACTGGCCCATTCCACATGAGAGCGCAAGGAGTTCAGGTACTGTCTGATCATAATGCCTATTTCAGGGATAGTAACTTGACTTAAAAAGATTGAATTAGAGCAAGGTTTATTGTAGCTTTCTAGAACAATATATCTTGATATTGGGGATGTGTCAATCCTTTTTGTTCTTTAAGATTGCCTTGCTACTCTAAATCCTTTGCATTTCAAGATGTATTTTGGAGTCAGCTTATAAATTTCCAGAAAAAAACCCTGCTGATTTTTTTATTATGTTGAATTGAATCTATAAATTAATTTTGAAGAACTGACATAATAATAATATTTAGTCTTTCCCAAGAAACAAATGGTGACTATTTCATTCTATTCCTTTAGGTCTTTTACTATTTCTCTCAGAAATAGTTTATGATTTTCAGTATAGGTATCTTGTGCATCTTTTGTTACGTTTTGATACTGTTATAAATTACATTTAAAATCTTTCATTTTCTATTTGTCCATTGTGAACATGTAGAAATACAGTTAATTTTTTTCTCTTGCAAAAATTAAATTTGGAGCCTTGTGAATGGTAGGCAAGTGCACTACCACTGAGCTACATCCCAAGTCCCTGATTTTTAAATATTCATCCTGGATCCAGAGACCTTGCTAAACTTCTTAATTTCCAAGTTTTGTGTATTCATTTGGATTTTACGATATATATAATCATATTACCCATGAAAAAAAATGATTTGCAGCAGTCCCCCTTTTCCATAGTTTTATTCTCTGCAGTTTTAGTTACCCATAGTCAACTGTGGGGTAAAAATATTAAATGGAAAATTTCAGAAATAAAAAATTCCAAAGTTTTAAATTGCACAGATTTTGAGTAGCATGATAAAATCTTGTGCCATTTAGCTTTATCCACCTTGGAGATGAATTGTCTCTTTGTCCAGTGTATCCATGCTATATATATATACTACCTGCCCATTAGTCATTTAATAGCCATTTTGGTTGTCAGATTGACTGTCACAGTATAGAAGTACTTGTGTTCAAGTAACCTTTACATAATAACTTAATGCTATGTCACAATGCCTATAGCATTGCCCTCACTTCATCTTAACATATAGGCATTGTATCATCTCATAAGAAGCAGCATAGGTATAGTAAAATAAGAAATTTTGAAAGATAGAGCACACACATAATTTTTATTGTAGTATATTATCATAATGGTTCTATTTTCTTACTAGTTACTATTGCTAATCTCCTAGTGTGCTTAATTTATAAATTAAACTTTATCATACAGATATATAGGAAAAACAGAAAAAAATATAGTTTGGTATTATCTGCAGTTTCAGCATCCCTGGGGCTATTAGAATGAATCTCTGGGATGAAGAGGGATTATTGTTTTTAGCATCTGTCTGTCTCATTTTCTTCTCCGTTATCTAGCAACCAATCCTCCTCTCCATTTCCCTCTTTGGCTTTGTATGTCAGCTCCTCACACTAACACCTTGATTGCCCCTGGCATTCATGATTCATTTTTACTTTTTATTTGAGACATCAACAAGCCTTCCTGTGGGCCAGGTATTGGAAATGTGCTTGCTCATTATCCATGCTTTTGCATGTGCTACTCCCTCTGCCTAGCAAGCCCTGCTTCTGTGGTCTACAAATGATTTCCTAGTCCACCTTTAGAAATCACCTCTGGCATCACCTCCTTCTGCAAGCTGTCCTTTACATGCTCTTCTCCCAACCCCTACTAAGACTTCGGAAGATATTTCTTCCTCTGCACTCTTCCAGTATCTTGATCTTACCTCTGTCATAGCACTTATCATATAGTATTTATGCAACTGAACAATAAACAGGCATGGACCAAGAAAATGTTACATTGCAATATTTCAAAGAGATGGTTTGAGAGATAGAAAACTTGTTTTAAATAGTGAAGGTTTCTAGAGAAAGCTTAGAAAAAATGAAAGCCACAGGGAAAGAAGTTTCTGCTAATTAGTTTAAATGTGGTTCGCTCTGACCTTAGCATTCCTCAAATTCCTCCCTAGCCATGATCCTGATATTTGCCTTGTGGCCTTCCAACTGCATCCTTTGGTGGAACATGCTTCATATATTTGTCCTGTGGGACACAAAATCAGCCTAGCTCCCTGTATTTTCTTCTCTTCAGAAGCCATCTTTATCCTTGAGTATAAATCTCATGAAGTTAGTATCACATGTTACTTGGGGCATTTCCCCAATGCTGGGGCACAATGCCTTGGCATAGAATATATGCTCAGTAAATGCATTTTAAATATATGCATAAGTAGCTGTTCTCCCATGTATGAAAACCTGCTCTATGAACTGTGGATGGTATCCCATGGGGAAACATCCCAGATGACTAGCACAAGTTCAAGTCACCTTCAATTACTGAACATTAACTGATTTCCCCTGATTATATTCTACCCAGCTGACCAGACTTCACCTGAGTTTTATTATGTCTTTTGTAAACAGTGTTTTAATTGTCTGGCTATGCTTCTGGAATATGTTTCTATATTCAGATCAGTTCTTCCAGTTCATGAAGTAATGAGAAGTTCTAAGCCTATGGTGTTAGAACACTACAATGCTAACAGCAGCATCTCCAAATAATCTCTGAAGGACATCATTGTGAATACACTATTTTAAAACTAAAAACTAGATACAGATTAGCTCAATTTAAGAACAGATGTACTTCCAAGTTTGGTGGGACATGCCTGTAATCCCACAATTTGGGAGGCGAGACAAGAGGATTGCAAGTTCAAGATCAGCCTCAGCAACTTAGCAAGGCCCTATGGAACTTAGCAAGACCCTGTCTCAAAATAAAAAATAAAAAGGGCTGGGGATGTGGCTCAATGGCAAATTGCCCTGGGTTAAATTTCCAGTACCGAAAAAAAAAAAAAAGTACCACAGGCAAATGTTGGAATTCATGAATATATAACAAATTGCATCCTGATATACACCAGGAGTGTAGAATATCTGAAATCTAGATTATTGCTCTGAGTTTTGCCTAAGGTCTTCTCTAGAGAGTTCGGGATGGCACAAGACCTAATTCTGGTGTCATTTATCCTTGGTTTAGTTCAGAGAATCTACTGAAGCTTGATCACAGAAGGCTTTCAGGTCTGTTCCTACTGCTTTATTAGTTAATGTTGACACTGTATCTTTATGCACTGAAAATAACTATACTACATATAGAAAATGACTTTTTTATGTTCCGGGGGACTTCAGTGTTTTACAGATGATAAAATAGTGTTTGTGCACTGGACAACAGGTCTATTCTGTGTGGATAATTGAATGCTCTGGACCACATTGACATATTTAAGGGACAGCTATGCCTCTACTGAATTCCAACCTAGTGCACTGTTCACTCACTAGATTATACATTATCTTCCTGCAAGTTTCCAACACTGTTGCATAAACAGAAGGCCCTTAAGTTGCCTAATTTCCCTCTTATTTAGAGCCAGTGAAGGAGCTAAATCAAGCACTGTTTCAACACTAGCTAAGTGGCTGTTTTCTACTTCTGAGGTAAAGTGGGTGGAAATTCACAGGAAAGCAAAAGCTGCAGAATTGTATCTGAGCTTCTGCCTTTGAGGTGCTCACCATAAAATTGGTGTCACATTATCAGGTTATCTCCAAAAGGTACAATGGCCTCAACCCTATCACTATTTTCCTATAAACATAATCTTCTCCTAAATTTCTTAAAGTTTTATGGTTTACAATGATTTGTGCTCATTCTGTTGTCAACAAAACCTTTTCCTTTTCAAAATTAAAAATAGAATAATATTTTTATTACTTATAATAATAATTTAATATTTATAATATTCAGTTCATATAATTACATTTAATTTAAATTCAATAGAAAGAATTCAATAATTTCCACATTCTTCCTGAACATATTTTTTAAAAGCAAACACATAAGGTAAAAGCAACACCTAACTACTCCCTTTTCCAAGTTAAAAATAATTGAAATTTAGTGATTATAGAAAATATAAGCAGTTTAAATCAATTTTCCTTTTGGTAAATAAATGGACAGAGAAGTATACAATGAAAAGCTTACCTGACCAATTTATCTTGGTCTTGAGATAACTGCATGTCATCATCCTTCACTGTAAAGAAAAAGGTGAAAGGGTTCTGGTTTATTTGGAGATTGAATATATGGCTTTATGTGCACTCTTTCCAAAGTCTCAATAAAGTGCTAATAAAGGAATAAAAAATAAGGCATAAAAAATCTCAAGAAGCTCAAAAGAAAAATGACAAGAAAAATCTTCAAGATGGAAAGAAGATGTCAAGTGGTAAATAACTATCTTTAAAATTTGATAACTATCTGTATGATGAGGGGATGCCAATAAAAAGCAAGTGAAATTGGACTTCAGAATTTAAGAAGTAACTCGGGAACTGAAGCTACCTGCTAACTCTGAAAGGAGGAGTGAAAGACAGAGCACAGCCCCTTCATCCTTTGGTACCAGATGACCCTGCTCCAGGCATGATGGATGATGCTTACTATTTATATAGGAAATTTCCAGTCTCTGGAGAAGACACCTCTAGAGCAAGGGGAACTCAGGACTGGCAGATACTAAACACAGAGCGGGAGTATGGTAAGGGATAGAAAACCAGGGAAAATAAGATAATTCATACTGAATAGCAAGATCCTGACCCTTTTCCTGTCCATCTCTCAGAGTATAAGCACCTCTCTCTATTGCCACAGACTGGAAGATCTCAGGAAAAATAATCAAGCCTAAGTAAATGGTCAGATTCTTCCTGAATAACAGCTAGATGATGAAACAAAACCATCAACAAACCTAGTTTATATGCAGAACTTCCAATCTTTTAAATAGACCATTCATCCCCAAAAACAAAATCCAAATGTTTTCTCTGATAAGCGGATGTTGATCCATAGTCGGGCAGGGGAGTAGGGAAGAATGAAGGAACTTTGGTTTGTGTAGAGGGGAATGAGGGGAGGGGTGAGATTGTGGGGATGGGAAGGACAGTAGAAAGAGACAGACATTGTTACATGTAATCATATGATTACACTAGTGGAGTGACTCTGACCATGTACAGCCAGAGGAATAAGAAGTTGGTCTCCATTTGTGTACTATATGTCAAAATGCATTCTACAGTAAAATTAATTAATTAATTAATTTAAAAAAATAAATAGACCATTCATTATATGTTCATCATATGAATGGACAAATTCTCACAAATTTGTTTCCTGAGTGCCCAACCTGACACGCTTTGTCGATAATTAAGTCTCAGTGTAACCTATATAAGCACAGACTCCCCCCTTGGCCAGTGGCTCATTTTCTATCAGGAAAGTGGGTCCGCCAGAGGCATGACTCTAGTGCTGAATAAAGGCTGTGCTACTCTGTGAAGTTTGCACCTGGCTCTGTCATTTTGTGCTAACAATTTTAAGAACTAAAGAATCAGAGCAATAGATCTAATGTCCCAATCATAGGAGCTATAAGAGGAGACAAAAGACAAAATTGCGGGGGGGGGGGGGCAAGGAATTACAAGAGAACTTTCTGGAACTGAAAGATAATATTTTGATATTTCAATAGCTTATCAAATGCCCTGTACAGTGAATGGAAGGAGGGGGGAACAGCAAAAAATATAACTAAGTAACATTGTCAAGAAATTTTCAATCACTGGTAATAAAAGATTTTAAAAGCTTCCAGAAATCAAGAATTATGTGTGAAGAACTGGACAACTGAATAACATCAGATTTCACAAAAGGAACCCTAGAAAGTAAAAGAGAATAGTGTTTCTACATTTTTGAAAGAAAGTTATTTCCAAACTAAAAGGCAGCCAAACCATGAGCATATAAGAGTAGAATAATCACAGAAAATAATGGAAAATTATATTTAGACCTTGTGTAGCAGGAAGTTCCTGAAGAGTGTCCTCTGAGAAAATGAGGGAACACACCAACCAAAGGAAAATGAGGCATCGAACAAGATCTCCAACCCAGAAGGCAGACAAAAGGAACATTCCAGCACACCTGCCGGAAAACTGCCAATTTGGAATTAAAAGAGGATGAGATATTCCAGGAAGGGAGTGGGGAAAGTGGAACAGATCCAACATTGATTGACTCCCTGGGAGTCTTTTCACATCTTGGTTAGAAAGTTTAGGGGAAGAATAGAGGGAAGATTTGTAAAAAACAGAGAATGAAAAATCAAACCATGTGTAAAAGAAAAGAAAGAGCTTCATTCATGGCTTATTTGTGATGAATATTTAGTCATATCAATGTAACCAAACTATTTTAGGAGGAAGAGAGAGAAGATATGTGGGAGAGAATGGCAGCACAATAGACAAATCTTTCTATTTCATAAGACCACATCTATAAATAATATCTAAAATTGAAAACTTCAGAAATATTAGCACAGAGTAAGCCTAGAAATGTAGTGGTCAGTGCTGGAACAATTGTGCTGAGCAGTCACTGCCTCTGGGGGCAGCACTCAAGGATAAAATATGTGAGCTTCTGAGGTTCGCTTTCTTTCAGAAGAATCGATTCCTATTATATGTTCCCCAAAGCTATAAACATATACTTCTTTGATAGAAAATAGATATTTAACATTTTTAGCTATAGAGACTTTGCTAAAATGTTCCTGGTCTATCTGGTGCACTAAAATACAAACAGGGAAAAAGAAGTGTGTAGAAGTGTATAGTCACAGCAAACAGACCCATATGCTACCACCCTGTTAAAAACAGGTTTTCTGTATCTCATGATAGCTGTAAGTAACAGGACATTTGTAAAACTACTGTAATCATTGGTTCTGAACGACAGTGTTAAAACTCATGTTCTTTAGCGAGAGAGCAGTGCTATTGGACTGTTTCTTTTCTCTGGACATCCAGGTGGATAGGCATTCCTACATCTAACAACAAGAACAAAAAAAATATATGTACTCATTCTAAAAATCAAAACAAAAACAAAAAACAAAACAGAACTAAAACCTTATGAGACATTACTTGCCTCATTTGTAGAGGCAATTTTCTTTAAAATTGCCCTGTTGTTAAGAAGATTTTAAGGGCTGGGGATGTGGCTCAAGCGGTAGCGCGCTCGCCTGGCATGTGTGCAGCCCAGGTTCGATCCTCAGCACCACATACAAAGATGTTGTGTCCGCCGATAACTAAAAAATAAATATTAAAAAAAAAATTCTCTCTCTCTCACACTCTCTCTTTAAAAAAAAAAAGATTTTTAAAAAATAGTGAAATAATTTGGAATTTGAGCTGGAAAAGAATCAAATGCTCATCACAACGTCTTCCTAGCCATAAGCAGAACAGAATTTATTTGCATAAATATTAGGTTCTTAAAAGTTTAATGTAAATTAAAGCATTATATTCTCCATAATATTTCTATAATTCCCTTTATCCTAGTATTGACTCATCTGCTAGTTATTGCATTACAGGTTACTTAGACAAGTGTCTGAAACTTATTAAGATGATTTTCTTTATTTGTCAAAAGCTTACAGGTTACTTAGACAAGTGTCTGAAACTTATTAAGAGAGATTTTCTTTATTTGTCAAAAGCTATAGGAATATACCTGGCTAAGAAAAAAGAATCTCAGGTTTAGCTACCATTATTCAGTTTACCCTCATATTTTCCTTCAACCAAAGATTTTTAAAATTCTTTAAACCTTATGTTTTTTTAAAAATAATTTTTGTAGTTGTAGATGGACAGCATACCTTATTTTATTTGTTTATTTTTATGTGGTGCTGAGGATTGAACCCAGTGCCTCACATGTGCAAGGCAGGTGCTCTGCCACTAAGCTACAGCCCCAGCCCTAAACCTTATGTTTTAAAATAGCAAAACAACCGTGGCAAACAGAAAACAAATAGCCATTTGACCATATAAGCACACACAAATCACAATTCACAAGAACAAACTTTTAAAAATCCATAGAGGTCAAATAAAATTCTTTTGTAACAAATTGGGAAGAAACAATACTCAGAATCTAGAAGGCAAAGTTGCCATGCATTCTCTCCTTACAGACCTTCCCTCTCCAAGTTTTTGTAACCTGACTAAAGTATAAATCTGAAGGTACTTGAAAGGCCTCCATGCTCAACTCTTAAAACCAAGTAAGAACTTCTTTGATGACACCCCTGAGAAACAGTCATGTAACTACTAAATAAACACCAGTTATAAAAGAAAAGCATTAGTGATAGGAGATCTGTCTCTGACCTTGTCCACTATTTTAAGTTACTTGAATTGTTAAGAGAATTCTTCTTCATGTTCAGCCAGCTGGGAGCTGATGGACTTTACCAATAAGGATCGGCAACTACAATGGTATTTACTTCTAGGAAAGATCAGTTAGGTACCCAACTGGCTATATAACTTATTGTGCAAAGTGGTTACTGCAAGGGAAAAGGAGTACTAGAAATCATTGCACCAGGACTGTGCCAGGTAGTTAGGGGTATATGAACACTCTAAGGGAGACAGGGATATGGCTAAAGGAAAGGAGGCTATCAGGACATGGGAAGGTCACTGGGCCACCACCCATTGGGTCTGAGCTCAGAACTTGGTATCTTCTTGTCAAGGCAAAGACCTAACTAGCTATGCAGATGTCAGGAAAGAGTTTGGGGAATGAGAGGCATTTGCATCTACATATCAAATACCAAACTTATCTTAGGATAACACAATTTATTCCAGATACTTGATTATGAGGGGAAAAAATCCCCAGTGTGTTCCAGATATATTTTGACATGGGGCTGGGCCAAACCTGTAAATTCTGGACTTCAGTGACTACAATTTAGAAGGGATAGGAAATATGACAGAATTCTAACTTCAATGTAGTCCTACTTCAGTTTTCAGAGCAACAGAGAGGAAATCTCTTTTTCTGTACTTCTCTTCAAAAATTTGAAAACAGCTTTTATCATTGACTTTGATTTTCTTTCTTCCATTGGCTAAACATACACATTTTCTTCAGCAGCAAAAACCATGATGTTATAATTGAGCATATAAGTAATCTACATAAGGACCACAAGATCAAAGCAGGGTAAAATGATAATGTAAAAAATACTTAGTAAGAGGATACTTTTCTACTATGGTTTATAAGCAAATATCTCCCCACAAGAACTTTTTCGTAGAATTAAGTTCTTCTATCAAGTCAGTCTTCCATCTGTACTTGCAAATTTTAATTTTTTGACCCTAAAAGAGTGATTTTACATTTGTTCCATTAAACTTGGAAGCAACAGGAAAGTGGGAAGGCCCAGGCTGAAGCCCTGACTCAGCAGCTTGCTCTATGTAGCCTTAGGTTAATCAAGTCATCCTTGGATTCCTCACTGAGGAAGAGAATGTGAGGATCAGATGATTACATGTGTTTGAAAGTACTAAATAAATGATGAAGTAAAATCTGGATCTAAGTTCATGCCTTTTTTTTTCTCACTCATTCTACAAAATTTTTATGCAATACCTCCTGTCAGACACTACACCAGGCTCCGAGGATAGAGTTCTACTCTATAATTAATGACTATCAAGATGACACAATCAATTAGCTGCATCTTGTTTCTTGTTTACACAATTAACTATCTGTTCCAGTTTTGTGTCATTTAAAACTGTGACAATAGTTCTTCCTATGCTTTCCCTAGATCTCTGTACTGGTATTTTAAATATGTAATATGAGAAAGGATTCTACTAATATTCTAGTAAACCGTTTCCCCAGAGGTTACAAGTAATTAATTCTTATGGGATGCAGTTTCCAACAGAAACATACTACCATCTAATTTAGAGTGAACAAGTGCCTGCCACTTCCTCATTCCTGATGTGTAGCCACTATCTCTACTATATTAGGACACTCTTTCTCTATGAAGCTGTGGAAAATTTTCTCTTCCTGGCATCCCACACTACCATTCCTGGCCCAGCCAAGATGGCAGAAATAAGTAGACACTTAAATACTCTATTGTATTTCCATACATTTCACCAACATACATAAGTGAATTAAGTGAAAGCTTCCAAACTATTTGGTTTGTCACTCATTTCCTGGGCAGTGTGGTAATGTGAGCAGCTTTTCTGGAAGGCGTGCTGGCAAAGTTGGAGAACTGAAAGAAATAAAGGCTGATGTCTACCTGTGGAGGACAAAAGAAAGGACTGACCTCCATCAGGTATCTTCTCTTTTCTTTCTGTAGGGAAAACTCAAAATCTATTGTGCAAAATCATTTATTGCAGAAAATTCTTTAGAACCAGTTTTGAAAATAGTCACTCACCAGAAATACTGATATAACTTTGTTATATAGAATGTTTCTTTGTAATGCTAGTACTCTCGGCCTCAGTGGAAGGTTATGTGGTATATATCATTTCTTTATTCATCCCACAGATATTTACTGAAAGCCAGTACTGTTCTCCAGAGGATACAGCAGTGAATGCTACAGAATACTGGTAGATTCAGAAATGTGGTCCAAGTGAAGCAGTACTGCTCTCTGTGTAGAGATCAAACTAAAAAATGTCAGGGAATGTTTGAAAAATTCTGAGAAAACCAAGACATATTTGGAGATACTGGGAAAGATGCCTGATCGATATTGTTTGATTTGCATCAGACCCAAAATTCCTGTAGAAGAGAAGGAGTTGAACTTGGCCACAATTGTGCAGACCTAGCTAATGGACTAGGGGCAGGGATGGGAGTCCTAGAAGGGGACTGGAAAAGAGACAATAGAAATAAGAGAGAAAAAACACCAGTAAAGGTCAAAGCCCAGTGGCTGGGGAGGTAATGATACCAGCTGCTATGCAAAGTAGTTTTATGCTACTTACTAGGAGGAGGGACAGAGATACAAAGGAAAGAACAGTTCTCACCTGTGGGAAAAGCCCTCCGGGTTCTGCTAACTGGAAAGAAAGCACAGGAGCAACAGAGCCAAAGTCAAGAGTCACAGGGAGGATACCAGAGTATCAGAAAAACACTGGACCTTAAAGCAGATTTTGGAGAGCTTCAGATGCCAATTCCACGAGCCTATTAGAAGGAATACCTGGGAGGGAACGCTCCAGAAGAAAATGCTGAGTGTTTTGTTAATCAAGAGGAAAGTACTCTCACTTGAATAACATCTAGGGTACTGCAGGTAAAGTCTGGGAAATATCCATTACAGATATGAGTTAAAGATATCATATTATGATGGGTAGGCACCATCCATTCTTATGACCTTATCAGATGATTCTGGGAAGAATCTGCTTCCATAACATGTAAAGACACTGAACTTCCCATCTTTGCTGATTTTTAAAAAAGGATCACTGATTAGATAGACAAAAAATTAGAAGAGATCTTAGTATCATTTCATTAGTGAAAATGGAGTAAATAGGCCCCTCTATAATATTCAAATATTCCCTTCTACAACAATTATTTGTTAGATCATTTATTTGCTATAAATGCTTATTGTATAAATGACAGTTGCCAAATAAATAACAAGTCTTCCTTACGTTTTAATGGCTCCTGGAAGAGCTTTCGAATTATTTTTCTATACATATATTCATCTTTAATCAGCATTTGGGCCGCTTGCATGTTCACTGGGTTTTCCAGCACTGGGTAAGAAAGCATAACCTAAAAGAAAACACACAATGTATGTGAGTTTTTAAAGTAAACGTTTTCACAAAAAGACAGACAAATACATACAGCTCTCAACAAGCATTATCTGTATAGACCTAGAGATCAATATAAAGATAGCACAACAGAATCTGTACTCTGAAGAAACTCTTGATCTATCTTGGTTTAAACTAGGATCAGAGCGAGTTAAAATTTCTTTCCTATAAAAATTTCTTTCTGTCATATAAATTTAAATTGGATTTATGCATAAATGGAAATAAACATTAAGGAATATTGAAACATCTCTGTACATGGGTTAACACATTTTAACACAAGATCACATTAGATACATGGATAAACTAGCACATTTGTGCTTGCTCACACGTTGATATCCCTCCAGGTCATGGTTAAGACCATATCTGTAGTAGTTTTCTATTGTTGCTGTAATAGTTACCACAAATTTAGCAGCTTTAAAACAGCACAAATTTATTATCTCACATTTCTGGCTGGGCTGGTTTCACTTTGGATTTAACAAGATTGAAATCAAAGTGATTGCTGGGCCTCTTATCAGATGATTCTGGGAAGAATCTGCTTCCAAGCTCACTCAGAGGGTGAAATGAATTCAATTCAGTTACTTTCTGGATTTTATTTATTTTCACCTGCTGTTACCTGGGAGCCACCCTCAGCTCCTAGAGACCTATCTCCAGTCTCTGCAGTGAACTCTGAGGATCTGAGAACACAATGGAATGACAAATTTTCTTTTGCTTGGAATCTCTCTTACATCCCCTTTGCCCACATCCCCTCTCCTTCCACTGCCTTTCTTTGACTCTTCTGCCTTCTTCTTCTATTGCTGAGGGCTCATGATTACCTTGGTCCATCTGCATAATCCAGGACAACCTTCCTATTATCATGCCAGCTGATTAGTAACCATAATTCCCTCTGCAAGTGCTTTCACAGTAGTACTTAGTCTAGTGTTTGAATAACTGGAGGATGGCAGTCTCAGGGGGAACTCTTTAAAATTTTGCTTACTGCAGTATCTGTGCCCTTGACCAAATGAGATCAGTGGGAATTAGAAATGAATAGTTCTGCTAGACCATGATTTGTTTATCTGGCACCTCAAAATTATCTTACCTCAAACTGCAAGTATTTATTCAATAGTTCAGTATTTTGAACATTATGCGACATGCAAACTCTATAATAAAATATAATTAAAACTACTACAAATTATGCATTACTAATACAATACCTATTTGTAGACACAGAACAAAGTCAATCATGGTGGCTTAAAAGTTATGGAAATTATGGCAATCTTTTACTAATGAAAGCAATCATTTGACATCTGTTATTTCCAAAGCAACAAGCATTGTCTGCCGTTACTTGAGTTTTCCTGTTTGGAAAACACATTTAAGCCATATTTCCAAGAATATTAAATCACCAAAATAAGGATTCAGCGTAGATCGTAATGTACCTTTCAAAGTGGGTGGGAAGCAGATGAAACTTCTCTTCAAAGAGCAAACTTTTGGTCTTTGGCTGGAAAGATAATCTTACTCAGAGAAGCACAGCTGGAAAAGTTTATTCAGTAGTCTGCTTATTAACCACTAGGCCCAAGAACTATTCACCTCATGTATACACAAGCTATTATGTGTATTTAATGATTTTTAAGAACTGGTATATAAGTGTATTTTAAAATGTATAAATCAAACATCCTGCTAAAATGGCAAAAAGAAATAAAGATTTAACCTTTAAATTAGTTATGTGGTAATCTCTTTAAAAAAGTTCCCAGGGGAGAAACACTAATAACAATAGAGCTGGGATTTTCCTTTATGATTATCAGTGATTTTGTTTTCTTTCCCTTTACATTATCAATCTTCTGTGATGTGACATACTTGTTTTATTAATATATTAAAAAAAGATGAGTAACTGTATTATCTACTAGTTTTTCTCAATATATTTGGCAACACCCTGTGGTCACTTTGCTTGACTGTTCAATAGTAAAAATAATCATGATATTTACTATCACCTCTTGTGCTCTTGGAGTAGACACAGTTCCAATTACTTTCACATGTACTCATTAATTTAACCTCACAAGTCACATGATGTAGCTACTAATAACTGCCTTTCTTTCTTTCTTTTAATGTTTTCTTAGTTATAGATGGATGGCATGCCTTTATTTTATTTATTTTTTTTATGTGGTGCTGAGGATCGAACCCAGTGCCTCACACAATGCTAGTGCTCTGCCATTGAGCTACAGCCCCAGCCCAAATAACCACCTTTCTTGTAGCTAAAGAAATTGAGGTATGGAGAGACAAACTTATCCAACAGTGCAAGGATATCAAGTAGAAAAAACAGGATTTGAAGGCAAGCAATCTTAGAACCCCAATTTTCCTTTCATTACATTATTCTTCAATTCAAAATTTTCACCAGTTCATTCCAGTTTTCCATCACTCATTACATTTTGGGAACATTCATCTTTATTATTCTTATGACAGACTGTATTTCAGATGGAAGAGAAAGGAATATGTCTCAGTTTAAAGGGATCCAAAAGTTCAACCCCAGATACCTGAATAGCACATTCACTCAGTTCCTTGAAATTTTTGCTCAAATGTCTCTTTCCCAGAATCAGCCTCATACAAGTAGAGGCTTAATACATATTTGTAGAATAAAATAATGATTGAATTGGACATGAAATCTTTTTAAAAGATTACACTTTACTCATTCAGTGAACTAAGATGCCTAGATAGGGAAATTAACTATTATTTTACTCATTTAAAAAAATAAGTAGGAGAAATGGGATTTGTATTATAATTCTGTTGAGAAAATTCAATTAAGTCAAACTCCTTTGTTCTCCAAGTATTTCAGATAATCAAAAGTTAATAGTTTATTTCCAGATATTATTAATGATAAGTAAGTCCCTAGATAGAATAGCGCTAAGCCTGATCCAAGTAGTCAAAACAAATGTCATGGAAATAATTTTAGCATCAGATGAGAGAGGAGGGCTTTTAAGGGTCAGGAATAACATAAGACAGAGGTATGCTTCTAGGGACCATGGGTCCAGGGCATAAAGGTGATGGCACTTGGGAAACAGGCTCCTATATGAGGAGAGGAGATAATTCCTGGTTTAATTATTTGCTGGGTTTGATATGAACATTTGTAAGAGAAACTAGCCAGCACTGTCAGAACACAGGATAAAATAAAGCATTTTAAGTTATAGTCATGTGATTCACCTCTTCTGAAGAAGGCAAGGTTCATGAATGAGGAAAGATTTAAAAGGCCTGTTTTGTATTAGGAAATAAAGTTAAGAGCCAAAAGAAAACCTAAGACTATATTTCCACAATTGAAACCATTCAAACCATTATTTTCTTCTATTATAAAATGTGTATTCTCTGGTTGTAAAGGCCCTTAATTACAATTTCAAATTAAAATAAAAATCTTTATAACGTAAGTTCCACTTTGTGTCTAGATATAGAATGTTGATTTACATAAGCTTTCTCAAATCCTTTAAACATTTAAATATGCATTGTACATTTTGATCCTTGTGTTTTGAATAAATGGGGTATTAAAGAAAGCATTATAATAAATCTATTCTTACCTGTAGGGCAAGTAAGATACTGCTCAATGTATAGCCTGTATTCCACATCTTGGGGTTGTCCAAAAAATCTATACAGGGCTGACCAGTATATGGGTCTACTGTATTAAAATAATACATTGATGTTGATATATAATAATATTATCCTTTGAAACTTATAAATATCAAAATGCCTAGACCAGAAATGAAATCCACATGTTGGATGGGATGGAACTTCCCTCCAGTCTGTTATATTAGATTGGAAAGATACCAAACATTGGCTTATGTCCTCACACAGCTAATTAACTAATTCAGTGTTTAAAGAAAAAAAATAGAATAGAGCCAAATATGAAAAATGAAACTATAGAATAACTAGAAGAAAATTAAAATAATTACTAGATTTTGTTTCACAAAAAGCTCATTAAACTTAAAGAGAATGGCAAAAACCACAAATAACAAAATTAATAGATCTGATTACATAAAAAAAGTTTAATCCTAGATGTAAAAAGAAAACAGCATGAACAAAATTAAAATTAGTGACAAATTAGGAATATTTGCAACATCTATGACATAATGATGATATTATAAATTATGTCATATAAGTCATCAAATTAGAAATATAATCACAAAAGTGAAAAAATTGTTTACTTCACAAGTATTCAAAGAAGTGTTTATTAGAATAATAGCAATCTAGCATGTATGAGACACTGGTTGAGTGCCAACAATGTAAAGAAAATAATAATAATAATTTAAAAAATAATAGCAAGATTCTTATCAATTAGGCAAAAAATTTCTCCAAAGTTTCTATGCTCAGAACTGAACAGTGCTAAACAGAACTTGATATACATTTCCTGGTGGGAATGCAGATTACATTGAAAGACAATTTGCATATATATATTATATAAAATATAAAATAATTATATAAATTTAAAATAATTATATAAAACTATACATAGCTATCTTTCTGGACTGGAGGTCTAATATATAACCTTCCTCTTTTCTTAAGTTCACATAAAAGTATGAAACAGAACAAGGTGTTAAAAGAAGGAAGTTAACATCAGCTTTGCTATATGTGAGACTGAAATGGAAGATACATTTGATCAATGGCTTTAATTGGCTCCACAAAAGTCTCTCTGATTTGAACTTACCCACCAAACTAACAGCCTGCTTAAGTTTCCTGCTTGGAGGAACAGACTGTACCCATTCCAAGGTCAGGATAGTTGGAAAGAAAGAGTGTTGAGAAAGTGCTAGGCCATAGGTGATCAATTCCTTCCCTCACCTCCTTAGTCAGGTAAGTGACTTCTCTTGGGAAGAGTAGGGGAGGAAAAAACAATCACAGGCTTTCCCATATTTTTCCCTCCTAGAGACAGAAATTGCCTCTACTCCATGTGAGGAGTGAGGCCTAGGGGTAAGAATACATCCTATTGAATTTAACCCATTAATGTCCTAAATATTAAACCAAATATGGCACAATTTTACATTCTGAATTTCAAAAATAGATTTTAATTACAAAAATAATAATGTACTGGGGGTAAAGTACATAAGAGAATATAAAGTAAAATACAAATGTTCCCGTCTACCAATTCCACTTTTCAGTTATTACCAGTTGGTCCATAAAAGCTACATACACATATACATATGCACACGTGTGTGTATTTATTAAATGTAATTATATTTTACATTTTGTTGTTCAAAATGTTTTTTTATGTAACAGTGAACTGTTAATATATTTCCAGACATAAATATTTATCAAAAAATATTTGAGCACCTATGTACCAAACAAGGAAGATTCTAGGGATATAACAATGAACAAGATTCTAGCTTTCATAGATCTTCCTTGATTTGTTTAAAGGTAAAAGATATCACAAGGGATTTTTCACTTAAGAATTCCTGTAATAAGGAGCATTTAGGTTACAGTAGGTCCTCTGCATGTATAGGTTTGGCATCCTTGGATTCAAAACTATATATAATACCTCAACTATGTAGAAAAAATATATATACATAAAAAAGAAAATAAATTTGTCAACATATTAAAAGTAATATCTCTTTGCATTAGGATTCGAGGTGATCATAATTTTTTTCTTCAATTTCACAGTTTCCCCAACAAACACATAATCATATTCAAGTTGTTAAAAAGAAACATAATTACATTAAACATTAATAAAGAATAAGTATTATAGATTCAGAGCCCCTGATAATTAAAAAAAAAAAAAATCTCAGTTTAGTCCTTACCATTTGGATGAAAAGGAATTGTTGTAAATTTCACAACTGGAGGGGCAAGGTTGTACTCCGATGTAAATTCTATTGTCAGTTGTAAAACAAATCCTATGATGTAGAAATAAACGATTTTATTGAAGTGCCACTTTGTGCGGGTGAACTCCAATCTGATTAACATTGGAGTCTCTCCTGATGGTTTGCTTAAGTCAATTGCTTCACGGTGCATAGACCCCCTTGGGTATTATAACATTTTTCACAACCTAATTGTGCTACTTTGCAGCCTCTTTCCCATCAGTCCTTTGTATCCACCACCTCTGTTCCCCTAAAGCTAAAGTCACCAGAACCTGCTGCACCCTTTCTTGCTTTCAATTGCAGCTTTGCTGTGCTGATTGCCTGAATTTCTTCTCTTCTGAACCTGACAAACTCTTAAACATTCTTCAGGATTCAACTCAAATGTCACTTCTTTGGAAAGACATTCCTGATTCTCCCAGGCATAATTCACCAATCACTCCCTCTTAGGCATTCTGTTCAAAATTCTTAGTAGCACAAATTATATTTTACTGTAATTATCAGCTTATCTCCCCTGCCTCACTCAAGGAATCTGTCTTGCTAACTCATGATTGAAAGAACACATGGTCATTAAAGTTTACAGTGATCCAGTCAGTCTTCTTAAGAATTTGTTATGGAAATTTAGGGGAAAATCATAGTGGGTAAAATGAGAAGAAACTGGGATTTTGAAAGTCAATAGGAATTTTAATAGATATTCTCTGATCTTCTGAAAGAACATTAGAAGATATTCTTAATCAATATGCTTTATTGTGTTTGCTTTTTAAAAATGTGATAACATTGGGACTGAGGGTGTGGCTCAGTGTTGGAATACTTGCATAGCATGGAGGAGGCCCTGGGTTCAATGTTCAGCATAAAAATAAAAAGATCTGGCATAAAGGAAAAAAAAAATCTAGAATTTCAATCTATGTTTAAAAATAGCAAAAACATTTCTATATTGCAAATAATGTGAATATTTTAGAATTCTAGTGAATTGGTATAATTCAAACATATAAAGAATTTCAGAAAATTATAATACAATATAACTATATATATACATATATATGTATATATATATAAACACAAAGGATACAGACTATTCATGATATAAAAAATTTTAAAGCAGATTTTGAAAACACAAACCATGCAAACTTGAATTCTGTAGACCTTCAATTTCAGCTTGCCATTTCAGCATATCATCAGTTATAGGAAAAGCAGTAATACCCTTTAAAAAAACAATATAGAAGCAGACAAAAGATTATTAATTGCAGTTTTGAAAATCAGATGTCAGATTATACTGAATTCCAAAAACTCTAAAAGTTTTTATTTATTTATTCATTGGTTGACAAGTTTATTTATCGGTTGATCTGGGGATGTTTTATATGCCTTATTGCATTGAAATTAAGGTAGATTCTAGGGAACTCATGCAATAGTAAAATTAAAAATCACAAGGGAAACTAGAAGATCAAGATTGGTGTTCGTGTCTTATACAGTGTCTGTGTCAATAGCCAATTTAAGATTCAAATTAGAAAAGTATGAAATAGTTAGAAAGCCCATGTTTCTTCAAAGCTTTTTAAAGATATATGAATGCTATATGGAAGGCATAAAGTAGGAATGTTTTCTTTAAGAAAAAAATCCAATATTACAATTGTATGTAAAAAGAATTTTTCCTCTACTTGAAGTATTGTTCCAATGAAGAGCCCAGAATGTGTTTAATAGAAAACCTACCAATCAATTATGTTGAGGAGTACACTTAAATATTTCAATAAATATTTCTGAACAAACACGTTTGTTAGGTGCTTGCCTGGATGAACAGCATCTCTCTCTCTCTCTCTGATTTCTGCTTTGCACTTTTTTAACCTTTATTTTATTTTTTATGTGGTACTAAGTATGGAATCCACTGCCTCACTGTACCAGGCAAGCACTCCACCACTGAGCCACAACCCCAGCCCAGCCCTTCTCTCTTATCTATATTATCTGTGTTTATATATCCCTTCATTGAGTTCTCTTCGCTAGAGAACCAGAAAGTTCACAATGAGCAGACAATATGAAATCTAAGGTCTATGCCTCTGGGAAGTTTGTTGATAAACTGTTCCTAATATCTTCAGTGTGGACTTTTTACTTTTATAGCATGGTGAAAACAGACCACACTGAACTGGAAATAACAGTGCAACTGTTGGTAGCATTCTGTACCTTCCTTCTAAGAATGACTTTCTTTCTAGATTTTTTCTTAAGCACTCCTCTTTCCTCTTATCATCCACTTCACGTTCTTCATAAATTTGGCCAACACCCCTTTCAACATTTCATTGGTGGCAAAGTAGGGCAAAGATATTGCATTCCTCTGAGATAAAATTATAAGAGAAATGTATTGGTGTGTTATGCTGGTAAAAATGCATTAGACAGTAAGTACTAGAACACAAGGGTAAGAGTAAGGAGTTTGGAATCAGATTGGGCCAAATCATTTTGGAATCTTTTAAAAACTTAGGTTCTGGTAGGTAAAATTAAATACTGATTATTTTATAGTATTGTAATTAATGAGCATAACCCTGAACCCACTAGTTACTTACCACTTGATAGATTCTAATACTCAGGGCTTAAATCCACAATAAATTACTCAGCACAATATGCTTAAAATTGTTAGCCATAATTGTTAAAAATTATTTTTTAAAAATAATTGATAGCCAATTATTTTTAAGAAATAGTATTATGAAATAGTTTTGGTAAATAACAATATCATAGTGGCAAATTAGGTTTAATTAAATTATGATTTATAGAATAAACACGGATTAAACTGCTTCTTAAAAATCATTAACCAGTGAAAAAACAAATCCCTCCACATCCCCAGTACTTACCACAAAATTGCTCTGGTTCAACTCTTTTAAGTCTCTTTCCAGCAAGATGTAAGCTCTGCTGTACATGATAACGCAGCAGAGGATCTGCCACTGTTCACAGGTAGACTGCGAGCTCCTCAGGTTTACTCTGAGCCACCTGTCTGAGGTTTTGGGTCATCCATCTACATTATTAGGTCTCAGAGGTCACTTGCTTTCTAGAATCCCAGAACATTCCCAAGATAAACGGTTTCTTAGTTTGGGATATAACAATGACTTTTCTTTTCCTATTCTGACTCCTCTAAAGGAAGACTTCCAGAAGGGAAATTGGGGTCTCACTCATCTGCGGAGTGTTACTGCAGCGCCAACCCACCCTCCCAACACAAATATGGATGAGCAATTGGGGCCACCCGGGTTGTTGGCTCTTGAAGTGGCAATGAGGAGAGTGGGCATAAGACAGTCCCAGCAAGTTGTGGTTTAGGCTTCGCAGGTGTGACAAAGTGTCCGCTGAGCCGGAGGAAGCAAATCGGTTGCCCAGCAACAGGACTCAGGGAAAGTCTAACTGTGGTGGAAGGTTGGCCTCTTCTCATCCAATCAACGGCGGGGTGTAGCGGCTGGATATCTCCGCAGCCAATCAACGATCAGTTTCACTTTGAAAGGCCAATGAAATCCGTGGTCAAGGCGACACCCGCCGCTTTCAGTCCGCGGACGAGGACTCCACACGGCGGGTGTGGGGGGTCCGCGGTGAGATTCCAGGACCCAGCCTGTAAGTCACAGAAACCTTCATCCAAAGTGCATCTCCGAAATTAGCCTTCCTAATTCTTTATCAGGGACTAGCCGGTAATAAGTGACTAGTAGGTTACAGGTTTGGGTTTATTCATAACCTCTTGGCTGGTATGGCGAGATATCGTTCTTAGCCCAATCTCATACATTATGATGTTATCGAGTCCTCCAGTTACCTGGGAGAGAGCTCCAGGGATAGGGAAGGGCGTAAAATTCCTCAGATTCCCATCACTTCCTGCACAGTTTCGCTCTCGCTGTTCCTTCTACTTGGCACCACATTCTTTCCATGTTTCTCGCCCCCGTTTCCTCTTCGCTCATCCTTCAGATTTCATGACTTTGTAAAGTCATCGCTAAAATGCAATGAGGCGCCTCTCGTTCTCACCACGAGACCCTATATTTGCCTCTTTGTTAGCATTATCACATTGTTTCACAATTGCCTTTCGTCTTCACCAAGCTGGGAACTCCTCATTCCCTGTGCCAAACTTAGAACCTGGCGTCTTTGTTCAGAGGGCTTTCTTCATTTACTTACTAATTTTATAGAAATGGGATATCGGTTTAATCAGTTCATTTCATAAATACTGATTAAGCACCTATTTTACAGACTGTGGAACAATTCAAAGGAAGTCACTCATTATTGCTCCAATGTACAATAAGCAAGTACAGTCAGACCTCTGTATCTGCAGGTTCTGGGTCCTTGTGGGATCAGCATTTTTGGATTCAACCAACTACACATAGAAAATAATTGGAAAAAATACTTATGTTGCATCTGTACTGAATATGTACAGACATTTTTCATTATTTCCTATACAATACACTGTAACAACTATTTACATACAATTTACATTGCATTAGATATTATAAGTAATCTAAAGACAATTTAAAGTGTACAGAAGAACATGTGGGTTATATGCAAATACTGCACTATTTTTTTTTTTTTTGGGTAAAGGATGTGAGCAAACATGAATTTTTGTAGAGGGGGGAGTATCCAGAAAGAATCCACTGTAATACTGAGGTATGATTGTATCCAAACCCACAACAAATACACAAAAGAAAAATTATAATTTCAGATCATGATAAGTGGCTATGTAGAGAATAAAACAGTAATGTGAGAGGAAGTGGGGTAGAGAGTTAAAGGTTAGAAATGGTGATCAGGGAAGGCCCTCTATAAGAAGTGGAACTTTGACCTCATACACAAAAGATGAGAAGGAGCCTGTTATATGAAATACTAAGGGCAGAGAGTTCTGGGAGAAACTGAGGAAAATAAAATAATTCTGAGTCAGGAACAAATTTATCTTGAAAAGTGTGGGAAAGAAGTGACAGGTGGGAGAGTGCATGGCAAGAAGTTTGGGTTTTATGTTAATGGCAATGGAAATCCATTGGACATTTTGATTGGGAGAATGTTATGCAAAAACATTTACAAAACAGCTGTTCTGTGAAAAATGAATTGAGGGAGAGGGGGCAGTTGGAATGCTCCACAGTCAATTTCATGTTCAGGTATAGTAGCTTAGAAATTTTCATCAATATATAAATTTTGGCACAATGAAATGATTTGATCCTATGTCTCATAGAACTGAATACAAAGGATTTTTTTTTTCTATGAAAGTATCATCTAAGATCTGAAACTGAATTTTGTTTTGGCCTTCTTTCCATCCCATTGGATTTGAACTTGTATTTATGTAGGACTGGTAATGTAAAGTGAAAGTGGAGAAAGGGATACTTCAGTGAGATGAGAATGGACTAAATTTAGAGATCTTAATTATGTTTCTCAATAATATTATGCTGCTTATACAATTCCTTCTTCCATTCCAATGGAATATTGTGATAGCAAATGCAGAATCTTTTGTATTTTTAAAAAATACTGATATTTATATTTTTCATGTACCACATGAAATATGTGTACATTTTGAAATGGCTAAATGGAGTTAACACATGTATCACCTCCCACGCTTATCATATTTTTGTGATGAGAACACTTAAAATCTACTCTCTTAGTCATTTTCAAGAATAAAATACATTGTTATTAATTATGCTCACCATGCTGTTTAATAATAATCTTTTGGTTTTGTTTAGAATTTTCTTTTATGGAGAAATATGTTAAAGTAGATAAAGTAAAAGAAAAAATTCTTTGCTGTGAATTTTTAGAAGGTGGTATTTATGTGATAGTTTTATGCAATAAAAATCAAGCTGATAGATTCTCATAAGACCACCTCACACACCTATATTACTAGCTTTTTGACTGTTCCTTGAGACTTCAAACTAATATACCCAAATGCCTGGTTATTACCTGGCCTGTTCCAAGGGTGTTTCAAACTCAAATGTCTAAGAAGAAAATCATTATTCTTCCTCCTGACTAGCCTTCTATCCCAGTTTTTCACAATTTTTCCAGGCTGAAAACCTGAAATTACCTCTGACTCCTCTTCTTCATGGCTCACATTTAGTTACTCACCAAGATCTACTGCCTTCATAATTTCTCAAGACTTCCAATTCACAACCTTGTCATTGCTTGCCTAGGCACAGAACATCATTGTACTGTACTTCTTGCTTACGGACTTGCATATCATAGTGATATATTTATACTACTAGGTCATCTGATAATTCCCTGCTTAAAATATTTAAAGGGGCCAGGAACAGTGGTGCATTCCTGTAATCCCAGCAGCTTGGGAGGTTGAAGCAGGAGGATCACAAGCTCAAAGCCAGCCTCAGAAATTTAGCAAGCCCTAAGTAACTTAATGAGACCCTGTCTCAAAATAAAAATGTCAAAAGGGCTAAGGATATGGCTCAGTGGTTAAGCACACCTGGGTTCAATCCCTGATACAAAGAGAAGATATTTAAAGGGATCCCTTCAGCTCCCCAGCCATCTCCATCTGGGGAGATGGCTGGGGAGCTGAAGGGATATGGATATGGTGTGTGACCTTGGACTTTTCTTTTTAGCAAAACGGGGTCCATGCAATTCGTTAATTTTAATAGTATATGATGTAAAAAGCATAAAACCCTGGACTTAAATTCAAGCTTCTTAGCATGGCAGTGCCAAGCCTACCTCTCTACCCCTTCCTTTATCGATGCCCACTCTGCTTTGTACTTGAGGTACCAGCACCATACAGCTACATGTCTTTTTCCTGTATATACCATCTTGTCTGGTTCTAGCCATCTTTTCTACCTGGGGTTCCTTCCTCTTCTTTATCTCATTTTCAACTCTTACACATCCCAAACACATAAATTCCTCCTTAAAACTTTCCTGAATCACCAGGATGGGTTGTGTTTTGATATGACCTGGACTCATCTTTGTTTATTATTACCAACTTTTTCTTAAAAAAAACTGTCTGTTTGTGGGACTTTTTCCCCCACTAGAATGTAAGTTCCTAAGGGCATGGTGACTTGTTTGTCACTGCATTCCCAGCCACAAGCACCTGGCTAAGAGGAGGAATCAAATATGCTGACTGAAATTGAACTTAGCAAGATAAAAAGTTTTGAGGTCAGGGAGAGTCACCTTCCATGAAAGAACTAGGCTAGGCATAAGCAGAGGAAGGGTTTTGATGACATGTGTCAGGGTGGATAACCCAGGGGAACTTGGCCAGCCCCATGGTGCATAGGGGGTTAAACTCGGGAGCAGATTGACAAACAGGGTAAACCATCATCTGTGGAACTAAAGGATGAAAGAAGGGTTGGTTATTGAGGTCAAGAGCCACCACAGCCAGAGGGGTTCCAGAGCTGCAATGAGAGTATAGATTATAAGCAAAATCCCCAGAACACAAAAAAGGAAGGTAAAGGAAATTCAAAAGATCCTGCAACTGATTGGAGACAAACAGGTTGGGAATTCCAGGACTATTTTGAGGGTGGAATTGTTGGAAAAAACAGAGTTCCCTGCTGGAGGCCCACGGGGGCTTGGCACTGTTATATTCTGGGGCTGCTAAACATGTTCACAGTTATATTCACTAGATGGCCAGCATCCTGCATTTTTTTAAAGTAGCTTAGCTCATAAGTCAGTGGGAAATGTGCTTTGGTTTTGGAGGCTCCTGAGCTGAGGAATGGGGCTGGGGCTTTAGTGAGAAGAGGGAGCAAGAGGAAATATGTGTGTGTGAGCCCACATGTATGTTTATCTGGCATCTGGCATGCATGTAGCAACTGAGTACGTTCACCTCCTATAATTAATAGCATCAGCTGTTCGGATATGAGTCATTTGCAATAGTAAATTTATAGCAGAGACCTATCTGAAGATACTTTTGTTGGAATGGAATCACCTTCCATTAATTACAGCAAGTATTGGTTTTAATAAACTTTTTACATACATGATATACTTGATATCATGA